CCATGTGAATATTCAAATAATCAAAATTTTCACATACACAATTATAAATACGATAATGTATAATTCAATGATTAAATTAATAAAATTTAATATGGATAAAACATTATTAAATAAAATAAATAATCAGATCTTAATATTAAATTAAATAATTTTTTTTAATTAAAATTAAAATTTTATATTGGTAAATTACACAATTATAGAATAAATCTCTTACCAATATTAAAGTCTAATTTTATTTTAAAAGCAAAATTAAACGTTCTTATAAACAATATATAATTTTTTAAAAAATCGATAAACTTGTCCTTCTTTACCTTAGATTTTGATAGGTTAGTGGTTGGCAGGACAAGATAAGACGACCAACCCATTAGTGAGCTTTATATTATAGAGTTACACTTTCTAAACTCGATGAAAAGTTACATTTCAAAGAGATATTGTTTTTATTTTATTTATTTTTGTCAAAATAATTTTAAGATTTGATTCTCTCACATTTAATATGAAGTTTGGATGAAGTCACAGTTTTCTATTGCCACAATTAATCGTTGTAAAGTTAAGTGTATATAAGATAAAATTAATTGCAATATTATAAGCGTTTTATATATTTTATAATTAAATATTAAGTTTTTATTTCAGTGACATATGCAATACTTCGTGGTCAAGATTAAAGATTGATGCTCATTTAACATCAAACACCTAGTATTTTATATTTGAGTTTTGTTAATATGTATGTTAAGTTAATAAAATATTAATAGTATTATATTTAATCGATAATTAATATTGATATTGAATTATTAACCAATTATATATTAATTTTTCACTGGCTTAATATATTGAATACACCCGTCTAAATTAGGAATGGAGAGAAATAATATTTTTTCACATGAGAAAAAATAAGAATTTAATTTAAATATACTAATAATATAATTTTTTATATTATTATTTAATTACGAGTTGTTATATAGTAATAATAATTAATATGAATTTTAAATTTATGATACATTTTATTTAATTAATAATATATATATATATATATATATATATATTTTACATCAACAGTGGATCAAAATTAAAAGTCAAAATATAATAAGATAAAAATTATATATGACGAGAGCAAAATCAATGATGACAAAGCTTAAATGACAACACAACATTATAGTCTTATTAAAAGTTGGAAATAAGTAGAGGCATGTGCCTCCATTTAGTATAATTAAGTAGGTTTGTCCTTGCTTTATTTGTTTGGCATATATACTGGTTAAAAATAAATGTAAAAATATTATACAGTGTTGAGTAAAATGTTTAATATGTTATAATATTTTTTATTTTTATATAAAACAATAAATAAAATTATATTAAAATTTCTTAATCTATACTTTTAAGTTACTCCTTGGTAAATATTCTGTTGGAAAAATATTTATCTAAAAATATAAATATTTATTTGTAAACGAAAATTTTGAAATATACGGTGAACGAAAAATTAACTGATTAAAAAAAAATGCAAAGGTTATTTATAACGTTGAAAATTTTCTATTGTTCATTTATTACATGGTGGAAGTATGGTTAAAATTTCCAAATAAAAACATGAAATTGATTAAAGGTCGTAGCATTAACATGGCCAAAGATTGAATAGGGTCCAATCTATATTTATTATGGATTTAAAATCAAATAAAGTCTTTTTTCTGTGTTTATTTATTTTCTAATATGAAAAAGAATATGCTCGAGGCTGAATGAGCACCGACAGAACAACACTCTTGCAGACCTCAAATTTGTCGCCTGCCTTCAAATCTCAATTATCAATCTCAAATAAATATTTAACTCTTTTTTTTCACTTCATTTAAAGGCTTTTTTGAATTCATATTCAAAGGTTTGCAATAGATTTTAAGAATAGTTACGAATTCTTTAAAGTTACTCATTTAATTAATTAATTAATTTATGCATATTCTCTTACTGATCATATATCAAAACAGTTAAGAAAAATAAAACTCTGTCTATAGTTGAAATTTTAAAATTTAAACTCTTGCTATTATAATTAAAACTTGTGTAGAGTTACAATTTATTTTTACATAATTGTATTATTATTTTTTTAAATAACCAATATAAATACTTGACCTGAGAGGGATGGGCACCACTGAACGGAAGGCGCCAAAACGACAAGATCGCAATCTTAGCGGGAATTTTGAAAGTCGTTCTTTTTCTTAAACTAATATATTATATTTGACCACATGAACAGATACTATTAACGGTCATGCGTTCGCCACGCTCCTCCGCTAAAAGTGTGACACGTGTTCACATGTCAGCCAGAATGTCCCGGTATGGAACATCCTTCCCTTCCATCGATTGGTGTGTGCATGCAAACAAATCTTTTCTTACGTGTACCTCTCTCATTGCTCTGATTTTCGGTATTCATTATTTAATTTGTTTTTTTTCAACCTCCTTCCTTTATTTATTTTATTAAATAATACCATATTAAGTGATAATTATTTGTTAATATGATTATTAGCTAACTCAAATTACTGAGCGGCTTAGCTACCAGAAGCCGATTCTGCTTTTTATACCATTATTCAATTATAAATTATTGCATTATTTTATAATTTTTATGTATAATAATTTATGATAAAAAAATACGAATAGTATACTTAAATTTAATTTTTTCATATATTATTATAAAAAGTTTAGGGGAATTGTTTATCAACATAGTAACTGTGTTTACAAAATAAAATAATTATCATATAGATGAAATGAGAGCTTAAAATATAAGATTTGTTGATTGGGATATGGTGGGAAGGGTTGGACCACTAATTGGGAATGGGAAGAAATAAAATGAAAAACGTATGATGGTGGCATAGTGCGTAGGTCAGGGGTGACTACAAAACCAACAATCAACAAATTGGGACAGCATTAAGGGCCTTTGTCATTTTCTATAGATCCTCTAATTATTTCACACTTGAATATAATGATATTAAATAATATGTGACCATTTCCAATGCAAGCCAAATACACAAAGCTTCAAAAGGAGGAAGCCCATGCTGCTAATTCACTCAATCACTTAGCCCCGTTTTCATAAGCAGCTCATAAAAATGAGGACACAATGTATTATAAGGATAGTTTTTCACAAGTTAAAAAATAGTTCAAAGTTAAACTTAAAGTAAGAATTTTAAATTTAAAGTTAAATCGGTCAGTAATTTTTTTTATTTTAAAGGTGGCTTTTTTAGTAGTGAGCTTTTGGGTCCTAAAAATTTCGAGGAAGAAAAGTAGAAGGCAAAAAATTCTAAAAAAATATTTTAGAAAAACTATTTTTTTTCTAAATTTTAATTATTTAATTGTTATTTTTATTTTACCTTTTCCTAAAGATTCTCTCTGACCTGGTTTTTAACATTTCTAAAAAAGCAAAAAGCAATTTAGGGCAGATTATTACCTGTTTTGTGTGGAAAGACAGATCTGTTAAAAAAAATGAATTTTCTGATTATTTAGCAAATATGTTTTAGCCGGTTGAGTTTTTACTAAAAACAACATCTGATTATTTACAATTCAAGACTAAATGCCTTTTAATTCTCTCTCTATGTTAGGTCTTATAAGAAAGATGATGAAAGAAAATAAAAAGAGGAGTGAAATGCACTATGGATAATTTAAAGATGTTTATGATTTATTGTGTATTTTTTTATCATGTCACGTTTTTATTAAGTGTTTATTTTTTGTTTATTTCAAATATTATTATTAAAGCTTAGTGAATCATAATTAGAATTTAATTTTTGAAACACTATGCTAAATTAATAATAATAAATATAATAATATCTATTTAAATATTTTATCCTACAATACTTTTCTTAATTTCACATGCCTATCTCTTTAAATTATTTAGATGTAATATAATAGAATCATCACTGTTAATAAAAAAAGCACTTTTTCAGTACTTGTTTCTTTCTCAACATAATATATGAAAACTTATTAACACTAAATATGTTTTTTAGTGGTTTACAAGCTTAATATTTTTTTTTTTGTTTTGGTTTTTAAAATGGTGGATGAATGAAGATGTAAACGCACAGGCCAATGACATGATTGATATGCCATTGGATCTGCTGCTAACACCAATCAGAAGTCAATCTTAAATAAAGTGAATTTAAAAGTACGTTACCCTTTTTATACACTTGTAAACGAATAATAATAATGGTTTTGACGCGCAACAAGTTGGCAATGATAGTGGTCAACATTTTATATACTTGCAATTGACGCAAATATAAATATGAAATAATAAATAACATATTAAATTTAGTCTATGAAATTATGAACATTGCTTTATTTAATTTTTAAAGTTACCAACATATTATTTTATTTTTTGAAATTCTTAAATTAAAAGCATTTTAATATTTAAATTATATGCTAAAATAGGGAATATTATTTGATTTTAAATTTTAAAATATTTTTTAATTTTTAAACTTAAATTAACCAAGACTCATAATTTTATAAACTAATTTACTAATTTAGCATCTTATTCATTAAATAATACATACACGGATCTGTATAATTTTTTTTTGGATTAAATTGACTCTTTTAAATTACATTTAATGAAACTACAGTACTTTAATCTTAATAGTAAACTATATAAATAAATTTTAATATTTGTAATTTACTATATATAACATTAATTGTTATTTTTTAATGTAAACATTCATTTTAAACTAGTAAGCTTCGTTTTTCATGGTTAACCATAGATCAAAAAATTGTACTATTTTGGAAGGGTGGTGAGACCGAAGCCGAGTAACGAGCCGTCTAAGCCGTATAAGAACTGGACCTTTTTTTTGTAAATTCAATTTAACTTATTTTTAAATTTCACCGGAAAAAATTAAAAGAAAGTCCAAACCACATGAGTCAAGGGTAGTCACTGTCCCAAATTGTTTTAAAAAATATATTTTAATTTTATTTTGTTACTCACAATTTTCTCACGCGCTATCTCTTTCACTTTCACTTCACCTTTGCTTTTAAGATCCCTCACCCTCTGTAATTTTCTTCCATCAACCTTAATGTCACTCACACTTGTGTCCCTATGTAAATATCATTTTCCACCCTTTTCAAAATATCTTCTTAAACCTCAATACTATTTTTTTTTTTTTTTATTATTCAGTGTTCGCTTCTTCATTCCTTGAGCTTCAACTTCAACTTCAACTTCAACCCCCAGTTTTCAGCTTTGCAAGTTTTCCCAAATTTTCATTATTTTTCCCTTTCCTATGGGTTGATGCATCCTATTCAAGCTAATTCAGCTTGAACTAGGTGGTGGGATTTTCCGAATTCGTCGAAATAAACAGTGTTCTGCTTTTTCTCTTTGTATTTTCAGTTTTTGGATTGGAGATTCAGGAACTGGGTGTGAGGTAATATACATGGCAGATCTTCATTTCCTTTTTTTTTTTTTTTTTTTGGCTTCACGGGGTCTTTATTGTTGGGGGCATTGGGTTCCTTGTTGTTTGGTAGCATGAAAACTTTGTTCCTTTGAAGGAGGTATTTGCTTGATCAATCAGTGGTTTGTTTCCACTTCAGTTCTCAACTTCTCATTGACAATTGAGATCTGGTTTATCTCAAATTTGTTTATCTACTTTTTTTTTGAAATTTCAAAAAGATTGGATTTTTGTTGTTCCACCTTTTATAATAATTGGAGATACTCATCATTCATTGGTGAAAGGCATTGTTTCAGTGACTGCAATTTTTCTGTTGCTTGAGTGGTTCTGAAAATGTTACAGATTATTTTTTTTCCCCTTTCATGTAGTTTCTAGGATTATATATTAATTATCGTCCGTTCTCATGTAAAAATTTAAAATTCATGTTAACAACCTTGGCTGCAAATCTGATTATTCTTTCAAAAGAAATGTTGAAATTGCTAACTTAGCTGAAAGAAAAGGGCTAATTGTGGTACTTTACAGCTTCTCAAGCTTACTGCACTGACTTGCTTATGTGTACTCTAGTGTAGTAATAAATGTAATTGTCATCCTCCTTTTCTTTTTCAAGTTTTTACAAGACATAGGCAAGTGGCAACTGCATTTTCTTTATGATATGAGGATCTCTCTGATGTAAAAAAATACTATTTCTTATAATTGTTTAAGGTTTTGATATGGATTTGGATTTCTTTGTAGATGGTCTTGTTGATTTAAAGAAAAATTATTCAAGTGGTACAGTTTACCATTTTCTCATAACTCTCTTGTCTTGTTTCAGATGGGGACTGCTTCGACTTGGGGGTGTCATAGACATACTTGTGAGCAATCTTGAATTTGAAGGCAGCTGTTGATTACTTAAATTCCTGAAAGACATGTGGTGTCAGCCTTCTTTCTGTTGAAATGAAGAACTTGCAGGTTCTTCCATTATTTGCCTTTTATCTCTGTACTTAGTTTGCAATATCCACTATCACAATGATTAATTTTATGGATCTAATACGTGTGGCCATGTTGGCTGTCAATATTGAGAATACAAATGCATGGTATTATTCCTATTCAAATATAGTTATAGGCTTATAGCCAACAACTTTTATGTGTGCTGGGGTGTTTGCTGAGAAAAGGGCAAATTTGCCCCGAGGAAACTACTAAATGCAATCAATATTAGCATATATTGTCCTTGAATTAGCTGAAATTGTAAAATCAAGGATGAAAACATTAATGCGTGTTGACATATGTTTGTTCACCCGTCTGTCAAAGTTGAGGAATTGAAAAGTTTATAATTTACAAGCTTTAATAAATAATTTTAACCATCATTATGTAGTAGTTCTACAATTACCTTGTGTAATTTTTAATTTTTTATGTCACCCATTGTTAATAGAGTTTACCTGTAACTGTAAGTTTCCTCAATTCCTCTTGTATAATATTTTTGTAGTTTTGAGTGTCTGTCATTTGGGTCGACTGGAGGTAGAATGGTTTTGTTTGCCCGTATGAAATTGTTAATTTGGTTGTTTGGTAGAAAACCCTGATATGACATGGACATGTGGACTAACAAGTGGTTATGTGATGAGAGAAAAGGAATGCTCTGTTGAAATATTGAATATTACATCAATACATGGAGATGATGGTTTGTATTTTGAAAATTGAAGAAATGGAGGTTTGCATGGTAGTTTGTTATCTGTCCCTGGTGTGGCCAGTAAGAACTAATGAATAGGTTAGCGGTGACAGGGTCCCTCTGAATCCAGTTGTTATATAATAGGAATCTACCTGGATAAAATTTGTAATGAAGGTCTATTACTTTATTGAAGACAGTGATATATTTATTTTCTCTAAATTGATTATGATGGAGGTTATCGAGAGGTAAAATTCGTTATTTCCATGAAAAGTACTTAAATTCCCATGTTGTTTCTAGTTGTCAAATTAATTGTAATGCTTTGGTAAGGAAACTAATAGAGTATTTAATGCTCCAAAAAAATTAGTGAGTTTTTTTTATCCTGTTGTATTCAGTGTTATAGGTTATATCCTGGCGTTCTACTCTTAATGATGCAAAGTTGGCTTCATTCTCTAGATTTCTTTCATAACACATTTAGCTACACACATATATTATAATTAAAATAAGTAAACCTTTTATGGATTTGCAGAGCACGGAAGAATTACAGTCTTCAACTCAAGCTTCTCATGAGCCCAAAAGTGAACAACTAAACAATCACACGACTGATGCTCCTGTTACAGACACGGGTTCAGCATCTGCTTCAAGTAATGACAGCAAAAAGGTTTCACGGCAGGATATTGAGTTTGTAAGGATATCTATTTGTTGCCTAACATTTGTCTTACTTTCTGTTATTGTCTACTTTTCCACTTGTTTCCTATATCTGTGGATTGATTTTTAACAGGGATAATTTGCAGAAGCTAATCTGTCTCTTTGCCTTTTTGATTAAATATTCAAACTTTTGTAGGTCCAGAATTTAATAGAAAGGTGCCTACAGTTATATATGAATAAAGATGAAGTAGTTAAAACACTACTGACTCGGGCAAAGATAGATCCTGGATTCACGACTCTTGGTAGGCATCTTAAGGTCTCTGTTGTGCCATTTATATATTGCATTGTAATCTATAATAATCTATTGTATATGCTGTTCATAGAAAATCTTTGTATATTTATCAATGATTTTCCATGTTTTATTTAATCCAAGTGGTTATCTGATCTATGAGTTGATAATATGGAAATCATCTACACAATTTGATAGTTGAGATATTTTGCTTTTAAAAAAACATGGCGTTGCATGTCTTCATGTATATTTTCCTTGCCTTTTAAAAGTGGATACAAACTCATGTTCCATTGCTTTGTAATTGATGTCTTTTAATTCAGTATGGCAGAAGCTGGAAGAAGAGAATGCTGATTTCTTCAGGGCCTACTATATCAGGCTAAAATTGAAAAAGCAAATACTTTTATTCAATCATTTACTTGAGCATCAGTATCATCTGATGAAGTGTCCCATGCCTGCAAAGGTTCCATTGGCTCCAATTCAAAATGGAATTCATCCAATGCCTGGTAAATTCTTGCCCTCTCATCAGTGTGTATGTGTGTGTATATAACCCAAATTATCTTCACCTCTTTGTATGACTAAAAGTCATTTCTTATGATATGCATTCATTCTCAGTTCTCTGTGCACCCAAAAAACTTCATGGCCAACAATAGGGAACAGGCCATGTCTCATGGAAAAGGTTTAAAGTGGCACTTTCATCACTTTTATGAGAACAAAGAAAACAGTAAGAAGACATTCAGGATCCTTAGAAGTTTCTTAAAAGTTAAAGCTGTACAGGCTCGATGACTTGTCCTATCATTGATATTTATATTGAGCTGATCACCAAGTATTTATTAAGATAAATTCTGGATATATCATGCTAATCACCATATGAATCTCCATCCCCTTTAGTTGTTTTGAAGCCTTAAAACAGTGGTTCTAAACCTTATGATTATGGATATTTATTTGGGTTTTACTAATTTGCTTTCTTATTTTCTTTGATCAGGAGGTAATTAAACAATCATGCTGTTTTTCATGAATTCACCAAATTCTTTAGTCATATAATTCTTCCATATTGTGTTATATATTTTTTTTCACACCGCTGATTTTGATATGATATTTTATATTTCAGTGGTGTGATATTCTTGGAGGTTAGGATCATATATTTGCAAACTTTTTATGATTTATGAATTTACTATTCTCAACAAATACAATGATTTATTTAGGATTCAACAGAAATGACAACACATGAATTTTGAACACATCAATTTTATATAATAAATATCAAATGTTGACATCAATATTGATTACTTGCAAAATTTAACTGATAAAAGAAGTAGATCCAAATTTCTTTCACTTCACTTTCAGAACCTCAATATTTTCGCTGATTGAAAAAGTTTAGCAATATTAAAGGGTTTAACTGCATTTCTGGAATCATTAACAACTGTGTTATGATGTTAATTCCTGATATGATGCCTTGTTCAATAACTAATTCATGATATTGCTACTGTGAAAACTCCAGATGTTAATGTTTGGATTTATCCAAATCTTTGGTTAGTTAAGAAGTTTGGATAGCTGAGAAATGGTCAATTACTAGTACTGTTATGAGATTGTTTATATGACTGTTACTGGAAATTTTCCTTCCTCAGAAGTACAAAAATTGGAAATTTCAGTATTTGTTACAACATTCATTGTGTAGTATTCTTTTTGCAGGAAATTCTTGTTAGTCTATTCATTGCTGGCTTTGTATTACCCTAGGTTGAGGAAATCTTTTATGGGTATGGTAGAGTAGAATTGATTTTGATAGAATCAATTTTGAACTGTTGAACAAAATTGAGATGTGTCAAATTTAATCTTAGCCATATATTTTATTAAAAAAATGTGAGAATTGATTTTAAAACTGTAAACCGCAGAGTGAAATTATATTTCTTGGTTGTATATTGATTGTGATGGATGCCTAGGTATTTAGTATGCTATACTAGTGCTTGTAAATATTTATTGGCCCAAGAGCATTTGAATCTTTTTGCATAATCTTTTTGTGTCTACTGTTGAATGCATTTCAGTCTTAAAGAAGATGGCTTAGGTTATAGATGCATAAGTCCGCTTCTTTGCTTAATCTTTTTCTCATTTCTTCCCATTATTCTTTAACACCATTTGTTTGCAGTGCAGTTAACAACCTACCTATGGGATACCCAGTGCTACAGCAGCCTCCCATTCCAGCAACAGGTCAACCTCATATTGACTCCATGGGTTGTGGCATATCAAGTTGTCATGTAGTTAATGGAGTCCCTGCCCCTGGCAACTTTCATCCCATTCGGATGAATTCTGGGAATGAGTGAGAACTTGCCCTACTACGCTCAATTCTTTTATGGTATTCATATAATGGACAGTGTTACTAATTTACAATTAAGATTGTTTGTCAATGGTCTTGCATTGCTAGCTTTTGTAAAGTTGTCTGAAATGTGAAACAAGTGTTTCACTGTTTTGTTGGTAAAAAATTGGAATTGATTTCATTGAAGAACTTTTAGAAGTGTGACTGATAATGTAAAAATGATACATGGTCCATGTTGTAGGCTTTTTAACTTTTGATATGGTTTACCATGCAACTGTGCCCCCTCCTGTCTCTGCATCACACATCCAGCTGTCATGAACTTTTAGATATTACTTAAATTGATTCAATGTGGAGGGTCTTCTTCCTTTAATCTAAAAGTAATTAGCTCTTCTTTTGTGCTTGATCAAGTATGGTGATGGACCACAGTGCTCCTGATATGGTTCCTGTTATTCCACCAAATGGAGCTATGTCATCCGTCTCAGAAATGCCAGTGAGTCCAACGTCAGTAGCATCCAGTGGTCATTTCCCCTTCACTGCATCAGAAATATCAGGAATGGGCCCAGATGCATCAGCTCTTGATACAGCATTTACATCAGATGTGGCAAGTTCAGTTGGACTACAGCTTGCACCAGATGGTGGCACTGGAATTTCCAGATCCCTGGATCAAATTCAATGGAACTTTAGCCTATCTGATCTAACAGCAGATTTGCCAAACTTGGGAGGTAATTTCTTATTTGACTCTGTGAATCACTTTTAGATATGCATGCAATTAAAGTTAATCAGCGGTAGTGGAGTTGAGATGTACAGCATATGTTGAGTTTATGTGATATTGTGTCTCCGAAATGCCAAAGCTGTATATTTGAGAAGTAAAATGTGAATCTTTTGGAATCAAAACTGTTAAGTTTCTGTTAGTGCAGTGAAATGTCCTCCAAAAAGAAGCTGGAAGCATTTATTGTCAATATTGAATTGAGTGAAACTTTGAGCTGGTCTGTTTTGTTTCCTTATCTGCAAAGAACCATTAATATATTTCATATAGTTATCGTAAGATATCTACTAGTTGGGCTATACTGTTAACAATTTCGAAGTTTGGCTTTGATGACTCAAGGGCTCAGTTGCAAGTAAAAGATGGATAATCTTGTTAAAGGCCATTAAATGCTGTCAAGGATTATCCTGAAGATTTTACATGTTCACCCTTTGTTGGCATCTTCTTGCTTACATTATATTGAATCCTTTGCAGATCTAGGAGCTCTGGGAAACTATCCTGGTTCACCATTTTTGCCATCTGATTCAGACATTTTGCTTGAATCTCCAGATCAACAGGATATAGGTAATGTGAAAGACACATATATCTTTTTCTTAACCGTCATTAACATGATTGTACTGCATTTGAATTTGCATTTGTTGATTGATGCTTATTTACTTAATTTGTCAAATAATGTTTATATGATAAAAATGATAGGTTGGTTAATTTGACACTTTTAACAGCATCTGGTCTCTAAAATGGCAATATATACGCAATGTAATGCTGGAATCTATCCGGAAATTCTGTATTGCTTTATAGTTTTTAAAATTAAGTTCTAGTTTGATTTAAAAAAGATACATTTGCTTTTATTTCAGTGGATGACTTCTTTGTTAATTCTGAGCCCCCTTGCTCTCAATCCGACGAGGAGAAATCTTGAGGTGAGACAAGTTGCATGTTTCGCATTAATTGTTAGGTTAGGGAAAATTAGGATTAATAAATGTCATCTAGCTTACTTGGCATAAAAGGCTTACTGTTAAGTGTAGGCAGCCTGATCTGTATCATCAGGATGAAGATAGAATGTCAATTGTTACCTTTAGTTGTAATCTTTTGCATTCTTTTGAGAAATCTTTTATCAGGAAGAGTTGGTAACAGTGTTTAGGATGTAATTGATTTTATGAATTTGGATATATATATATTACTTGGGTCATTGTCAGTGCAAAAGTTGATGCGATATCTAATTCAGAGTTTCAAGGAAATATTTTATTCCCTTGACACCCCAATGGTGCCAAATTACATGTCATAACAACATGACATGATTGCAAGTTAATCTAATAACAGCATGTTAAAGTGTCCTTCTTTTAGTTTACTTCAATTAGAATAGATTGTGATGGTTGACTCTTTACTCTTGTAAGCACAAATCTCTGCATTGCCTTTTGGCTGTTGCTTTAAGATTACTAAAATAATTCTTTAACATAGTTAAAAACTAATGAAATGATCAAATCTCAGGCTTAAAAAAGGGGTATTTCTGTGGGACACAGCTCCATTTTCTTAACCATTTCTGCTTGCAAGGTCGAGTATTTTGTTTTTGTTTTTTCTTTGTTTTTAATCTTTGCCTGGCTATGTTTACTGTTTACATTTCTTTTTTTCTTTTTTCTTTTTTTGTTTTGAGACTAATTTTGTTCAGATAGTGACATTGAACCGTTTAGCAATGTGTTTTTATTGACTCAAACCTCTGATTTTGGACATGCCCTTCAGCCCCCAATGGTTCTCATGTATGCCTTAAGCAAGAAAAAGATAAGGCATAATTTTGTTTGATGTATGGCAATCTGAGTTCACAAATACCACTTGTATTATATTAAATGAAGATGTGCCTTTCTATTTAAAGTTTCATGTTTGTGATAGTTTCATTATGTTAATTACGGTCCGTTGTTGATGTTAAAGATAGTTCATTGACCCAACTATGATATACTTGTAGTTTTTCTAAATCTGCACTATTTTTTTTTGTTAAATAGAGAAAAAACCTTATATGTGTTGGATAAAATGATGGAATTATCTGAAAACTCTCAAATAAAAAAATAAAGATAAAACGATCATAATACAAAAATTAATATGAAAATTCTAAAATTAGAATAATTAAGGTTGTCTGAAAATTAAAACAAAAAAAACATTTCCAGAAAATTTTAACTTCACATATTTAATTATGATTTTATATTTGGATGTGGTAATTGAAACGATTTTAATATACTATGCTTTTACGACGAAAATATTGCTTATATAGTAAATTGCGGAAATGCCTCGTTAAAATTTCAAATTTTGGTTCTAATCAAAATAATAGTGTTTGGGGCTTAGAAATTTGGACCATTGTTTTATGAAGGATTATTTAATTATCACTCTTGATCTGGAGGATTAGTGGGTCTATGTTTGAAGAGATATTTAGTTAATAGTAATAATAAAATACCTGAAAATTTTTCTAAATCATTAATTTTACTTGCATTATAATCAGTTTCACCATTCTTCCCAAGTATCTGGCAACAACTCAGTAACTTTAATTAAACTATTGTAAAGAAAAAATAACCTTTTGCAAGAAAGAAAATAAACTAGAGATGACAAATTGATATTGGTGGTTTATTCATTGTAGTATTTGTCAAATCGGTTAAGATTATGTTTACTTACAATTAACAGATATTCTATTTTACAAACGCCAAACTATATTGCCATTTACTTTATAAGCAAAGTGGTAATGAAATGTATACTTTATGTAATGCAAACTCTGAGTTAGATTACTAACCTAACTATGGCCCAATCTATTGCATTAGATTTTATATTGTTTGTGTCACACGGTTTGTTCATAAATTATTGATCAGGAAAAACTTGTTCATCAATTAAGTTTAATGTAAATTGTAAAAATAAAAAATTTAAATAAATTGAAAATTAATCAAACTATAAATTTAAAAGATGATAAATTTTTATCATGTTGAATCAGATTAATTAATTTAATTCAATTCAAAGCGAATTTATGATGCGTCCATAATTTTGTACGTTTATATATTAATGAAATATTATCTTCATGGTCTTGCGACTTAAATTATGTCTTACTATCCAGTGTTAGAAGGATGATATCTCCATTGGCTGGTCTAGACTGTCTAGTAGTTTTTTATTTGTTAGTTTTTAAAATGAAATTAAGTATTATATTTATAACTAGCCAAAATCAATAACATTTTTTTTTGCCAGAAGTGGTATTTTAATGCGAATAATTACAATTTGTCTCGTTCTGTGTGTAATTATGAAAAACAATTTGAATCCAATCCATATCCCTATGACTTGACATGAAGAAGGTGCAAAGAGTATCTCCTGTTTATTCTGCTTAAGGTTCGGGTGACTGTCATTTAAAGTGAGGACAAATCTCCAGGCTCAATATGGTCGTTTATTCTTCATCTTTAAAATTTCCCATTCTAATTCCTTTTCAATATATCTTGGATATATAGCAAATCCTTTTCAAAATAAAAGAAAATATATTTCATATTTAATTTTAGATTATAACAAATGATTTTACAATTGGATTTTTTTTGCAAAAATATGATATTCTCAATCAATCAATATTTGACAGGTGTCAAGTGTTGATTAGTTGAGACTATTATGATCTTGGACCGTGTAAAAGAATTTTCTTTATAATTAAGGTTATTATATTTCATACTTGAGTGTGAAGTTGGTGAAAAAAAAAAAGATAAAAAAAACAAGATATAACAAGTGCACCTCTCAAAAACCCTTTGGAGAATGATGCCAGACAAAGGTTTTTGTGTCTTAAGTTCTTTATTTGTTTGTTTGTTTATCATATTCACGTTCCATAATTTATACACATCTAGTGGTAATGAAGTAACTTTTAACTTTGACGTTTTGACCCCACATTTGACTTCAAGTAACTAAATTATGATTCCAAATTAATCACATCAAAACAATTTTACATTATCACTTAACTGCTTATTATGATTCATTCATCTACTAGTTACTAGCGCTAACCACTCTTCATAAGTACTTAATATGAACTTAAGTTTGAAATTAAGAGGTTGCTGGTGGCCACCACTGCTGAAAACTTATCTACTATCACACTACGTAATGTTATTTATTTGCTGTAAAAACATCTTGAGGAATAATTAATCAACTTTAAGACATAATTATTTATTTAGAAAAAAATCAAAAGTTGTTTTTATTAAAATTTCTTTTACTAGCTCCAAAATAAGTTAATTTAAATACGCACAAGTAAAATTAGTTGATAGGAGTACGTAGGATGGAGAAACTAATAACATTACGTATAATGAATCCATCTTCTATACAGAAAAAGAGATTTCACGGGAAACACGTTGGTAGTGCATAATGGTGATAATAACTTTATTGTTTTTTCTTGCTTTCTTTATTTCTTTCAGTGCCTTTTTTTTTTTCCATCTTTCTTTTCTTGTCTCTTCCTTTTCATGTCCGTTGTTATATGGAACACCTCTATTCGATTACAAGTCATAGACATAGAGTGAGAAAAAGTTCGAAGCAGACAAAAAATAATGCAGAAACCCTCAGGACTCCTTTTAATATGCATTAATAATTATAAATGATCAAAATGCTAATAAATATAGATTACTCTATCATTATTGGCCAAGACAATTAACAAAGTGGAAGAGATTTTTAAGGTGGGATCTCACCTACATTATAGTAGTTCAGCTTTTAAGCTTATTATTGCACGGATATTTTTTAACCTAATAATAAAGCTATTGACAAAAGAACTTTTTAAAATGCTTCACTTGGTCCTTGACTAAGATATATCAAAAGAATTACTTTTAATTATTTTTCTTTGTTAGTTTGAAATTATTTACAAGCTTACAACTATTTGGGAGAAAATTCATAACGCTGGTGGGACTTTTTTCTTGAGGAGTATTTTCATATGCCTGCCACTAGTAAAGATGTGTCTTCATATATATTTTCTTGGGATTTATCTTTAAGTTTGGTGACTAATACTGCTTTATCTAGCTTGTTTGGTTTGTTGGAAAAATCAGTGAACAATACTTCATATGCTTGGCAAATTTTGTTGATTTTCGAAATCATTTCAGTTGATGCGTAAAATTGATCAATTTGATATAAGTAAAAGAAAAACGTTTTCAAAGTAAATGGAATTGACTGTAAATATGCCTCCCACTAAATTTTTTTAAATAAAGTAACATTTATCCTTCGAAATTTATTTTAGTCAACGCTTTTAAATTTGCTTTTGGAAAATTATTCTTAAACATAAATCAATCTTTAACATTATTTCTTTTGAAAAAAAAATGTTAACCAACCATAAAAAAAAATTATTAAGTGTTAGAATAATTTTTATTAGTACAGTCTTTGTTTAATGAAAAAAAATGTTTGTATAAATTTTAAAGGCTTATAATAATAAAAAAATATATTATACTAACATTTGATATATTGATAGTATATGTTAATAATTTTATCAATATTATTATTTATTAGAATTATATATTATATTATTGTTAAAAATTCATAACATTTATATTATTAATTTAATTTTTATTAAGAAGAACTTATATCAATAATGTCTAATCTAATAGTATTAAATTATTAATAAGTGATATTCTTCAGGGTATCTTAAAAGTGCTGAATCTTAGAAATATAACCAAACTTAAATATAGCTAACAATTATTGATGCCTCGGCTTAATGTTATAATAAGAGTAAATAGAATTCTGATTTATTTCTATGGTGAAAGAGTGTATGGAATTTGTTTTTCATTAGGAAGGGATATTAGAAGTCGATGGAGGAGATATTAAAATTTTCTAGAGCTAATTAAAACCTCAATCATGATGCATACTATCCTCTTAACTCTTACCATTGAACTATGAGTATCAATCTGAGGACAAGTGCATGGAATTGAAGTGGTGTTTTTACCACTTTATGATGGGCCATGCATTACAGGACACAATGATATTGAAAGGTAAAGCAATTGATCACGCAACCTGATGCATATTTTTGCAGCTCTTCTTATTCACTCGTTCAAAGTCAATCATTTTCCTGTTGATATTTTGGTTTACTTAAGAGGGGATAGTGTCCCTTCTTAATTTATTGAATTTTTTTTATTTTTTAATAGCTTTAGATAAATTTAACATCCTTGCACATCATCCTGATCATTAACCCATTCCAAATGGTTTGATCTCATGAGAATTCTACCTAAGCAATTAAGTTATAAGGTGTAGATTGCTGTGTGTGTGTTTTGTTCTGGACAATTATATCTTTACTAACAACTTTCCCACATGGTATGGATAATTTTTAACTAAGGTAAATTATCCATTTTAGTTAAATGAAAAATACATAAGAGAAAAATATCACTGTATATTTTTAAAAATAAAATGATGCAATAAGAGATGCTTTTATGTATTGTTAATAATGAAGAAATTATGTTATTTAATATATAAAACAAAAAGGGAAAAATTTTAAAATTAAAAAAAAAATGTTAATCAAGACACATCATCTTTTTATTTATTAATTTGATTTGGTGTGTCAAATTCAAAATATATATTTCTTAAATTTCAAAATGTGGGATGACCTTAATTTATCTCTATATTATAAATTTGAGTTATCATTGTTTTTTTAGGAGGATATCTCTTGCATTAAGTATCTCAATTTTTTATTTCTATTATTTAAATATTATTGCTTAAATTTATTTAATAGTAATTTAAATTTAAATTGAATATTAAATTCAATAGTAATTTTTTTAAACAATTATAAAAAAAGTATTCTTTCAAATGTTGCTAATGGTGATTTTTTAAAAATAATATTTTTTAAAAAATATTAAAAATTGTCAATACTAATTTTTGAATTTTTTTTATATTTTCATAATTTTTTCATATTAAAAAAGCCAACGAATGATACAATAATAAAAAAGTCAATTAATGTTAAAACATATAAAGATAATGGTTGAAGAAAAAACTTGTTTGTTTTTTATTTTTAAAAACAGTTTTTACTTTTTAAAAGTAAAATAAAATAAATTTTGTTTGTTGACATAAATTTTATTTTTATTTTAAAAAATAATTTTTTAAAATTGTATTAAAATACAATATTTAAAAATTAAAAATCAAAACAGCAAGAAAAAGTCCTTAATATCTCTTCCATATAAGAAAAATTGTAATGAGAAACTCCGTGTAAAGGCATGGGATAGCATTATACCATTTCGTAGTTTGGTAGTTAGAAGTGTATATCTCTGCATGAAACTGAGTTATGTACGTATTTAGTGCCGTATATATACCATTACGAGTCTTCTCACATCCTCAGTCACATCGTGCCTATTATTTCACTCTCTCTTTTTCTCCCTCAATCACTATAATACTCGTAACTGCATGCGTGCCCTTCATAATCTAATTCTAATCTTTCTCTGAAGCCTTCATGTTTATTACATTTTTTCCCTTGGTTCCTGGGGTAAGTAAGGATACACTTATCATGCAAGTTGCAACCTTGACATAGTTAAGCAAACCCTTTTCAGCCTTTTGCAAGTACTCTTAACTTTGTTGGGAACAAAGCACAAAACCATGTTTGTTCAACCTTTCTCTTTGAAACTTTTATTTTAGTTCCCTAAATATTCTGAAGTGGGTTTCTGAGTTTGGCTTATGGTCCTTCCATGGACTTCTATAGATGAGAAAAATTCTAAGTCAGATGTTTTTGGATTGAATATGTTTTGGTCGTTTATCTTTACATGTCTATGTGCTACTTGCAGTTTTCTTCATATTTATTCATTTGTTTCATATTAGCCTTTTACTTGCTCGTCCATTGATCCCATATATATTCTTATTTTTCAATCTTTTATAGTATTTATTTATTTATTTGAAATATTTATCAACACTTCCACTGTGGATCGAGTCATCCCCCTCTCTCCCCTCCTTTTTCTTCTCTCTTTATGATTCCGTATCTGGTTATTTCCAAATTCATTTGACCCTGATTGAGGTTGTTTGGCTTGTTTATAAGTACTTCGCTTTGGAGTTTAGAAGTTGACTTCATTGACTTGATAACTTTAAATAAAATTTTTGTTATTGATGCCTTCTGGTTTGTGTACTAATTTTGCAGTTATTACTTACAGAAAGTTATAAAAAGAAAAAAAAAAGGCTAATGATTTAATAATTTAGCAGAACGTACCGAATCTTGAGGCCTGGGAGAGGAATTCTTAGTTTAAAATTTAAATAAGAACAAAACTTATGTGATGTAATTTAGGTACTGCTAGAATTTTTATCAATTAAATTTAGAGTTTTATTTTAATAGAAAAGTTTGTATTTAAAGTTATTGAATATTATTAAGATAAGACTCAAATTTTGATTAATAAATAACACTAATAGTCCATTAAAAAATGTACTTAAATTTTGTCTTTTAAGTAACCATGGCTTAATAATAAAACAAAAGAAAGACATAAATGATTTACCTTTTTTATCCCTTAGTTAAGTGTGCACTAACTTAGAGTTTTCGAAGAAGACAAGTTTCTAATTTGAAATTGGATTTTGTAGCCTGAATCTTCTATTGTCTAACTAAAGTTTTTATTTTATTTTATTATTATTACTATAAAGCATAAATATTCTCCCTGGCTGTAGAAGTGGTTGAATCATGACTTCAAAGGGACAGAAATTTGTGAGGTTCGTTTGCCCAAGCCTGGTCTTGTTATATATATATATATTTTTTTCTGCAATTTTATTTATTTAATTGTTTTTGGTACAGCTAAGGTTTTAATTTTAGTACTCTATTTGCGTACTTTAAGAATCAAATGTTTTGTGATGCCTCAGCTTTCATCTTTCTTTTGTACCAAAAAGTAAGTCATTAGTTTCCATCATTCAAAAATAAGTTTTCTTTTATTGATTTTTCTCCAAAAGTATGGAGCTATTTACCTATTTTAAAGATTTCTACAAATTGATATTAAACAGAGCAATCAATAATTCACATATGATCATATGTTACTACTAGGACTGCTAATACAATCATAGTTGAGGTGATAATATAGCGTAGACTACGGAGTTTTCCAAGATGGGAATGCTTTTATCAATTAAAACTAGAGTTTTATTTTAGTGAAATATTTATTTAAATTATCAATATAAAACTCTAATTTTGATTAATAAGAAACTCTGACAACACCTAATAAACTACACTTCAGTTATGTGTGATTCAAGTTCAATCCAGTCATTGATTTTGTTCGTATGGTATTCGGATTAACCAGCAACAACGGGCCTACCCCTATCCTTCAACACTATCCTACATTCCTGTTCCTACTTAACACCTAGTAACAAAATTTGATCATATAATTTTTTGATGTTGTTGGAACATTTTTATGCTAACATATTCCTGATTCTTACCTCAAGGTACTTGATTTTATATTTCTGTCCAGGTTTGTGAATTGGAAGTCACTGTCATCTTCAAGTATTGAGCACAATGATTCTACCAGTGACGGATTTCACAAGAGAGAAGTTAAATCAAGTGTATGTCCTGTCAGTGATGGATCAATAAAAAAAATTTCTTGTAGGGGCAATGTTTTTGATCCACAGGGGCCAATACTTCAGAAATGGAACAAAATATTTGTAATCACGTGTGTGATGGCAATCTCTGTGGACCCTCTTTTCTTTTACATCCCAGTGATAGATGACAAGGAAAAGTGCCTTAATTTGGATAAAAAATTGAAGATTATTGCTAGTGTTCTGCGCACATTCTTTGATCTTTTCTACATTCTTCATATCATCTCTCAGTTTCGAACTGGGTTCATTGCCCCTCCTTCTCGTGTATTTGGAAGGGGTGAGCTGGTTGATGATCCTTGTGCCATAATGATGAGATACTTAAGTTCTTACTTCATGATTGACATTTTATCAATTATTCCACTTCCTCAGGTATCTCCCTCTTCTTCTATTCATTCTCAAGTCAGAAGTGCTTTTTGATATTATCATTATCTGTCAACAAAGTGTTAATTACCATTTAACAATTATTATGTACTGAATCACTAGACACCTTTGTTTGAACAATCAATAGGTGTAATTAAATTGTAATCTCAAAAGCCTAAATATATAATTAACCCCTCGGAATGATTTTAATGTCCTCTAGGAATATACTCAGTTTGGTATTTTGGTATATCCAAAATGAAGACACCTGCAATAATAGCTTTCAGATAAGTTTGAAGTGAAAGACATAATTTGACATTGTTTTAACACCTTTAATGCGTATTCAGGTGGTCATTTTAATCCCAAAAGGCTCAGTTCCATATATGATAAAGGATTTGTTGAAGTATGCGGTAATAGCCCAGTATGTGCCAAGACTTCTGCGGATCTACCCTTTATTCAAAGAAGTAACAAGCACTTCTGGCATATTGACTGAGACAGCATGGGCTGGAGCTGCTTACAATCTTTTTCTCTACATGCTAGCAAGTCATGTAAGCTGGTTTTCTTATTTACGTTCACAGTACCTCATCATTTATGTTCCTAGTTATCCTGCCAAGTTATATTATCATCAAGTACATTTGGCATACTAGGTTGTTGGAGCTTTCTGGTATCTGTTTTCGTTAGAATCAAGGTTGCGGTGCTGGCGCCGGCAGTTGAACCATACTATCTTTCCTCATGAATCCTTTCTTAGCTGTGGAACTAAGAATTCTACTGTTCTATCAATTCTCAATGCTTCTTGCCCTTACGATGATCCTGATAAAATTGGAGACTTGACAGCTTTCAATTTTGGAATATTTTTAGACGCTCTAAAGTCTCGTGTGGTAGAATCTACTACAGATTTTCATCACAAGTTCTTCTTCTGCTTTTGGTGGGGTTTGCGCAGTGTAAGGTTGAAAAATTATCTTTTCTGCACTTGATTCCAAATGCAAGATTCATTTTTATGAAATTTAAAACTTTTGTACCCTTGTGGATCTTTTCTGCGGACTAGTCATTAGTTAAGGGAAATGGTTCCTCTCATCGATGTTGAATTTTCACATGACTGAATTTTCGCATGAATTTGTTATAATGTTATGTGAAAATTTATGTCTGTCTCTCTTTATAAAGAGGGAGAAAAGCATTTCAAAATTAACATTTTCGCCTTTTGTTTTGCAGTTCTGTTGGGCAAAACCTCCAAACAAGTACTTATCTTGGGGAGATTTTTTTTGCTATTTTTATAGCTACTTTTGGGTTGGTTCTATTTGCGTCACTTATTTCAAACATGCAGGTAATTTTTCGTTAGGACTATGAGATGAGATCATAGACATGATAAGGATCTTTCATATATTAATGTCATTAATTACGCTTCCTAAGTCGTGCATTAAGTATGATTCATTAGTCCTTTGTTTTGGCATATTAATGGTGTTTGCGATAGAATTAAAACTAAGCACTCAAAAAGGGACAAACTTTAAACCTTAAGATACTAATTCCATGCCTTCCATTACAAACCAAAATATAATCAATTTGGGGTATTAAAAGAGCAAGCTACATCAAACTTCATATACTGGATTCATGGCTTGTGTTTATTGTTACAGAAATATCTACAATCTACAACTGTTAGAGTTGAAGAGATGAGACTCAAAAGGCGGGATGCAGAACAGTGGATGTCACACCGCATGCTACCTGACTTGCTTAAAGAAAGAATTAGACGATATGAACAATACAAATGGCAAGTAAATAGAGGTGTTGAGGAAGAGAAATTAATTCACAACCTCCCTAAAGATCTCAGAAGAGACATCAAGCATCATCTTTGCTTAGGTCTACTAAAAAAAGTGTGTATCATCCATAGAAGAAATGCTAGTAACACACTTTCACAAACAAGTTCTTCAATAATTCTTTGTGATTGATCAACTTTAAAAATTAACTTTTTAAAAAATGGACTAATCACAAGGACGTGTTCGAAAGAGTGTATTGTTAGCTTTCTTCTCTTTGCATTTAGTTGTTTTTTTATTTTTTTTACCCTCTTACTACCTGTCAAATGTTAATGAACATTAAATATTCTTATTGCTCTAGGTGCCAATGTTTGAGAACATGGATAAACAGCTACTTGATGCATTGTGTGATAGACTGAGGCCAGTCCTTTATACAGAGAAAAGTTACGTAGTTCGTGAAGGAGATCCAGTTGATGAAATGCTCTTTATCATGCGTGGAAAACTTGCTACTGCCACAACAAATGGCGGAAGAACTGGTTTCTTCAACTCATCAGTGCTCAAAGCTGGTGATTTCTGTGGAGAAGAGCTTCTAACATGGGCCTTGGATCCCAACTCCTCCCCAACACTACCCATTTCAACTAGAACAGTAGAAACTATATCTGAGGTTGAAGCCTTTGCTCTCACGCCTGAGGACTTGAAGTTTGTTGCTTCCCAATTTCGACGCCTTATAAACAACAACCAACTCCAACACAGTTTCAGGCAAGGCTTGATATGTGTTTCACCTTTTCTTTCGTTGATATATGATGCATCAATGACATATTTGCATACAATTTCTTCATGTTAATCTTAATTTTTTTATAAATAAGCATCAAATTAAAAAAAATTCGACACTTTCTTTGCAAATGACTAAGACTCTATGAGGATAGATGTTTTGTAAGAAGATTTAGAACTAAGCAAATGCTAACAAATGGTCTTTTGGGTCTGTTAAATAATAAAAAATAGAGTTTTTGAATTTGAAAAATTGCTATTAATATACTTTCTCTGAAATTTCTAAATTTTTTAATTTGATTTATAGTAAAAAATGTATTTAATAATTTCTTAAGTAATTCCTTGAGAACATTGGTTCATTTTTATATTTTTAATAAAAAAATGTTACACAAAAAGAAATAAGGGGCAGAAGTCACGACTTTTGTTTAGATTCCGATTTAGATTCTGATTCTATAGGTAGCTTAGATCATCCCATCAAAGTCATTTTAACAATGTGAATCACAATTTTTAGCAATATGATGGTTATAAGAAACCATACTAGGACAAATATTTTCGATGTAAAGATCATAGAGTGAATTCCATTTTAAACAGAAAATAGAAGAAAGAAAATATGTTTCATAATCTCATTAATGTTTGTTTAGGTTCTATTCCTTGCAATGGAGGACATGGGCTGCATGTTTCATACAAGCAGCTTGGCGTAGACACCGGAAAAGGAAGACTGAGAGGTCATTACGGGAAGCAGAACAAAGGCTACATGCTTTTGAAAATGAAGAAGGGTCCTCACCAAGCTTTGCTGCCACATTTTATGCATCAAGGTTTGCATCCAATGCATTGCAGCATTTGCGAAGTGGTAAACGCAACAGAATCCCACAGACTCAGAGATTACTACCCCTGATGCCTCAGAAGCCAGCTGAGCCAGATTTCACTACTCAAAAGGACTAAGGGTGTTGTACACTAGTTTTAAGAATATTTATACCAAGTTTCATTTTTGATAAAACTAAACTTGAGAATTGTTCATATTTAACATTTCCTTTGTAATTGTGTGTGCATAATGTGGATTTTATGTTTTCCTACAACAAAAATATGCGCATATGTAAACACAAAAGTATGGAAAAATATTGGTTGTTTTTTATGAATTTTTTAAACGATGACTTGCTGCCATGTCATTGCTTAAATGATGGCTTTGGGTGCCTAAGCAGTGGGTGTCCAAAATGTACGAAACTCTCCCAATGCACACTTTGAGCGGTGAGATTCAGGTGCTTGAAAGAGGACAAGCCAGAATTTACCTTCCTTCCATGTTTGTTGACTGGTGTTTTATCTATGTTTTACCGGGTAAGAATATTGTCTTTTGGTTCATCTATTAAGCATCTTGGCATTAGTACAATTTCAGATATCTAACTGTGTTTATTAGACTAGATTATTCTTATGGTATAAACTTATCAATTTTATTGGTTGAGCCAGCGTGCTTTTACACTCGATTGTCAAACTTTATAGCCTTGTACCCTTCTCTTGCAAAATGTAAGCTAGATATTTATTTGGATATTACATGACAATTGACATAATGTTTCTATATCTTGGAATTTGTACAAGATTTCAAATGAGGAATTAACGTTGGTTTGTCCCTTTCAATTAGTCGGTCAAAGTCAAACACGACATAAATTGTTTTTATTTGAGAAATTTATTAACAATTTACTGAAACATCACAATTGATATATGGCTTATCTATCTTTGTGGTATTTTTGAACAGAAGTTTTATGATGACTTCAAAGCTTCAGTGCATTCTACACTCTGTCATGTTTGTGGGTGTTGGTTTATCAACTAATGGAAATAACTACTTTCTCCTATCCTTTTTATAAGAAATAAAAAAAAAAATTAAGTTCTAATTATAAGAAACATATAATATATTTGAGATGTATTAATTGTTGAATTATTTTTATACTTTTTTTATTGTTAAATTTATATTTATGAAAAAAAATTATACCAACTACATCATTTAATATCATAAATATTTTTAGAATAAAATTTATGTTTATGAAAAATGTAATTAAATTTATTACTTTTCTTAGTTATTGTATTTTAATCTTTTATTTTTTATAAATATGACCGAAGGGAGCATCATTTAAATATCAGTAAGTTACATTCATACATTTTGAATTTTAATCAAGTTATGCTCAATATTGTTTTTTTGCCTTACACACCTCTCAAATAATAAATCAAGGAAAGTTTCCTGATGAGAAAGATATAAGTATTATAAAATAAGGGAGCTTGGGTAGGATAAGATAGAAAAGGAGGTATTAAAAATAATTCGACTTAATTTGTTTTTAAACTACATGTTTTCTTTTTCAAATATTTAACACAGCTTTATTTATTTGAACTTACATTCGAAATTACTATCAATTGAAGTATATGCTAATATCAATATAATTTCTTTTAATAATAATAAAAAAATCGAGGATTTAATACATTCCAAATAAGATTTACCATTTTATTAATATGAAAACTGGTATGGGCTTCTTACTTGGGCCGAGGAGGTAATGGAGCCAGCCTTAGAATGAATAAAAATGCTTGTGAATTTTTTTCTCGTTTGTGAAATTGTGAGTTCCTTCACGTTTTGTTGGGCACTCGTGTGGGGACAGGGCCTTGGCAGAGAGCCTGTTTCACACTTTCACTGTGTTGAGAATTGGATTTTGGAAAAAATAAATAAAAATTAAGAAAAGACATATTAAATTTATATTAATATATTACTCATGATTTATTTTAAAAATTATAATATTAAAAGAATATTGATGGTTGAAAATAGTCCATGTTACTTGGCATACCCGAGAACGAAACATCCACCCACAAGAAGCAACACTCCCACCTCAACCGAGTCAACTCGGACGGTACTCAAAAACCCGTTCAAGTCGGGGTCAATTCGTTCCCCGGGAAAGGCGTGAACGCACGAGTTGGAGGGGGAGCTTCCTCTCGGTTCGTGGACGAGGCTCCGACGGGGTGAACTCGCCGTTGGAAGGGTTGAGAAGGGGGTGTGGCACTCTGTTTCGGTCTTCGATAGAGTTGCATTTTGTCGGAAGGGAAAGCGAGGTCGTCGGAGAAGTGCGACTTTCCAGTGCCGCTGGCGCCCACTTTTGTAATTTTGTTTTTCTACTAAAATATGTATAGAAAAATAAAGGAAAAAAACGGCACAGGACCAAAGTGATGCGCTATCTGTTACTTGTTCTGATATTTCAATTATAAAATAATAACTAAAAAAATAATAACAAAGAAAGAAATTACCATTCTTGAAAGAAAAGCCAAAAAGAAAATTAATGATTGGTGGAACACACGGAAGTGAAAAGAGAAGGAAACCTTTTAAATCAGAAAACAAGAGACCAAACATGTACTGAATCCAAGGTACATTAAAAAACACGGGAAATTAGAGCTGAATAGAACTTATCTAAGAAGGAAATTGAAGTTCACACAAATATCTAACTTACATGAATGTTTAAACATAAAGTATTAGACATAAACTTTGTCCCGAATCGCTCTCACTCTTGTTGGGTCTTGTGTTTCTTCTTCTCCTCATGTGCTGGAGCCACCTTCTTAAATAAATTAGTAAACTCCTTCAACCTTTTCTTGAACCAGTTGGGCTCATTGTCTTCTTCTCGTATCTTTCGTTTTTTTGTGTTTCGTGCTTCTTCAACAGCAACCTAATCAAAATTAATTAATAATTCATTACTAAGCATCCTAATCAGGTATGGCAGAGACATGTAAGCGTGAGACTTGTTAAAAATGACATGACATGAGTTAAGTTTAAACACGTCACCTTTGTAACATTGGGAAATGCTTCTTCGTTCTCCGAAGCCGGGAGTTCATTCAGATCAAATGCATGTTTTGGGAGTGAAACCACCTCGACCATGGCTGGAGCTGGAGCTAGAGCTAGAGCTGGAGTTGGAGTTGGAGTTGGAGTTGGAGTTGGGGTAGTATCGTAATTATTCACCGATGACTCAGAAGAAGTCATGATATCCCACTTAGCTCTGCAGCTTCTTCACCAGAACAAAGGTTAAAAATGATATGGTATTTCTTGCATGCCTCTTGAAAAGAGCTTGGGCTATATATAGATGTTTCCTTTTTGTTTTCTTCTTTGCTGCATTGACGACACAACAAAAGTTAGGTTGGCAAAGGTTTCGGTTTCCAGAAAAGAAATGAATATTATAAAAGTAACCAGAGAAGGAACGAATATAAAAGTTGAAAACAAAGTTGACCACATATCGAGAAAATAAATAAATCTATGTGACACTGACAGAGAGAAAGACAGCATATGCTTTTTGTTCATAATTCCCCAAGGTTCGCAAGCCAAATGTAAGCTGCAATCACGCTCATAGCCAAACTCAAATGTCATTGATTTGATTTATTTAATAAAAATCATTTCATTCAAGATAAGCTATTATTTTAAGTAAATAATACTATTCCTAAATCCTAAACATGCAATCCTCCGCAACAATTATCCCATTCCTATGCTTTATTTTTATATATGATTAACATTATTTACTGATTCTTGGCGTTGGTGATGCTTTCTTCGCGAGAAGTGGGCTAAGAATGACGTCTTGATCGATACGACAAAGAAATATTGATCACGAGGCATGGAAAAGAAACATTAGGTTTAATTTTTTAAATATAATAGAATTAATCGAATAAGCTTATTTAATAATTTTAATGTATAAAAGTATGAGGTGTCAAAACTTATTTAAATGTCAGTGTAAAATAATTTTATAATAACAGTGCATAATACTTAATCAATAATATTATTAATCAGAATAATGTAAAAGTTAATACTGATTTTAAATTTGTGTACAGTTCCTTTGTTTCATTTTTTCTCTTCAAACAAAAATAGTCACGCTTTACTTTTCTTTCAAATAAAATAATATTAGATAAAGTATAGTTTTCTCTTTATTTTTATTCTTTTACCAAACGAAGTGTTAATATAATTTACCTGAAGCTTTATCTAATAATAAAACAAATTAATAAAAATTTCGAAAAGAATATTTCTAACATTTCTCATTGTTCATCAACAATTCTCCTATAAATACGCTCTGCAATTTGTGGCTAGTATTAGATAAAACATCATTTTGTCTCATGTTTTTGCCTCGTCAGAAAGATCTAGTATATTTATTAAAAGCATCAATAAAACATATATAATATTTAAATTTAGATGAAGAGTTCAAGGAATATGGATCTCAAACATTAGTGTTCCCTGACTCTAGAGGTTCGAAGGCTTGAGAAGAGAAATTTTAAAAGCGTAAAATTTTTCATTTGGCAAATTTCATAGAAAAAGGCCGATCACTAGATAGAATCTTTATTAATTGGAGTTCAGATCCTCTCGAATGTCTATCCATATAAAATAATCTTATTCATAGAGCGCATCTGATGTTCTACCAAAACTAATTAAACTTTGAAAACATTAAAAACTCAAATTAGGATATTTCTATGTAGAACTGATTCAAATTCATGGGTCCCCGTGTCCCAGTTGGTCAGATATGAATGCTGAACTCTCCTCCTGGCCTACACTTCTGCAGCCTAATTTGGAATTATACTTCCACTTAGCATTTGACTCATTCATGTTATTTTATTCTCTTGGATTCTCTTAACTATGCTTCTTCCTTTTGAAACAACATTTTTATATTTGCTTCAAGGAGTTAGTGTTCTAAGTTCAATTTGAAACTATCCCACCCTTAAAGTGCATTTCTTCTTTCTCTAATACTTCCTTTCGTCACCTATTAAGCAGGCATGGCATTTTGAGTTCCATCATACCAATTTGATAGAATCCATCCAGTAGGTGGGCATGAGAAAATTATCTATTAGGGTTACACCTCATCATGATAAGTAGTTTGATGGATATTTCACAACTTCATAGATCTAATTTTGTCTCTTAGAACATATTATTCTTGTGAGATAAACTTTTTGTCAATTTTTACTGTTGAACTAGCTGGCTGTTACACTTGATTCTCAAACATTAAAGCCTTAAACCCTTTTTCTTGCAAAATGTAAACTATATATTCATTTGTATATTACAAGATTTCAAAGGCGGAATTAACATTGGTTTATTCCTTTCAATCAATCTGATATCATGTGTCAAAGTCAAACACAACCTATGTTTGCAATTATATTTGAGAAATATATTTGCAATTAATTAACTGAAACGTCACAATTGGTATGGTATATGATGGCTTATTCATCTATTCGGTACTTTTCCTGAACTTCTTGTCGGGGGTATGGCTGGATGGATTGTTAAATGTAATAGAGAATTAGTAAATGTAATATATGCGTCTGAAATAAGTGAAAACAAAGGAAATAGAGAACTATTCAACCTGAATTCAGT